TGCCTGCAGCAGCAAGCTGCTGGGCAGCAGCTGCAGCTGCCTGCAGCTGCTTGCTGCCTTGCAGCAATTGCAGCTGCTGCCTGCAGCATGCTGCTACAAAAAAATTTTTTTTTTTTTTTTAATGGAGGCTCGCCCCGGTTCGAGCCGACTCCCCAAAGTGGGGCTCGGCCCGAGCCTGGGCTCGGTTCCACCGAGCCCGAGCCGGGCCCGGCTCGGGCTTTTTCCGAGCCGAGCCCGGGCCTTCCGAGCCTTCGAGCTTTTTTGCCACCGCTATTGTAGCCCAGATCTAGACCACGAACATAGTTTTTGTATGAAATTCTATAAATTTTCGTCGTATGCGTTATTTTATTTATTTATTGGTTTATTATAATTAAAAATAATATTAAAAATAAAAAGATATATTATCCTCGCGCCTTTTAAAACCTTGCAATGAGTACTGACGTAACTTCTTATATAATTATTTAAATATCTTGAATCCACGACAATTTTTTAATACTTCAAATCACATTCTAAGGAAAACAACCATTAGATATTGAAAATTAGAAGAGGAATTTGTGCCCCCAAGGCACATCTCCAAGTGGTAAAAGGGGGAGGTGGAAAACTCCAACTTTGTTTGAGGCTATCGCGTCAAGGGTTTAAATCCTGAAATATGGATTTGGCTCTTGGGTTAGTGCAAGTGTACAAACAACCTTCTACCCTATATCCTTGGAGGCATAACCTGCGATTTACCTCATTCACCAAGGCACATGACAGGGTAGGTGGGGGCCGCTAAGGATGTGATTCATCCTTTTTTAGAAGAGGAATTTGCATTTAGCAAATAATTGGAAGGGAGGCCATGAGTTTTGCACTTCTCCTTAAATCCCAAATAATTCAAAGAGAATACTCGGAATTATTCTTATTTGACCCGTGAGTTATGAATTTGTGACGGACAGCACGACACGACCCGGATAGAATATTTGTATAATTGTACGAGCTTGTTTGGTAGGGATTTTTAGAGATTTTTGGGGGAAGAATTGATTTTTGAATAGTGATATGATGGGAAATGTGTGGTTGAAAAAGAAGAAAAAATTATTGATGTGATGGAAAATATTATTTTATTGAAAAATATGTGATTGAAAATGAGAATTGATTTACTGTAGAAAATGAGAATCCCTACCAAACAGGCCCATAATTTACCAATTAAAATATCAAAAAAAAAAAAAAATCCCAATAAAATTATATATTTCAATAACGAAGAATTGCTATTTAATTAATTAATCCATTCTCGGTCCACGACCTTTAAATGGGCCCACAAAACAATTGGAAATTTTTTAGATTCTCCCGACTACACGTTCTCACACGATATTAAAAAAAAAAAAAGAAAAAGAGAAAAAACATTGTAGAACAAGAATTCTACTCCGCTTATATATGTATGTATGTATGTACATTCAATGGGAGTGGTGTCGATGGGGAGTTTAGTTAGTCAGGCAGAACGACGTTATGTCCTTTAATTCGCAGGACTCTTAGCTTCATTCTGATCGGCGTTTTTCTTCATGCAATATGAAGATGTTGAATTCTGTAACTTCTCTCTTTCTCTCTCTCTCTCTTTGCATTGCTTGTACATATAATTTATGTTAATAATCTTAACTAATGTTCAGGTTTCTGTGTTGTCGGATGCTAAAAGTAGATTAAGCTTATGCAGTTTCTTCATCATGGCCTCTTTCATTCTTGGTGTCTGCTTCATTGGAAGTGCATGGTTAGCAAGAAATTCTTTCGTGGTACATACGTACACAAATTTTTTTTTTCTTTTTCTTTTTTGTATATTTTGTCGTGGTTTCATACTCAATCTTGACAATAGGGTTGAGGTTGATTTGCAAGAATTAGTCCTGTGGACATTCAAAAGAGACTCTACAATGCTTAAGACCATAAAATATGCATAGAGAGAGAGAGAGGGAGTCGAACTAGTCGAGCACGATTTATTCATGACAATTTTATGTTGGGAAACATTGATGTACGTGCATAAATTATATTCCAATAACACACGTTTTAACTTTTACGTGGATAAAACCGGATAGAATTTCGACTTATAGAAATCGAATACGTAATTTAGAGATGAGAAATGCATGAATATGAATTTGGTCTAGACAAGAGTTCGATTGCCTCATAGTTTTTCGACATTCGATCACATCCCGCAATAGAAACATTTCAAATTAATTGGACTGTCGGACTTACTTATGTTTTGAACTCTCTTTAGATGATACTAGACTCAAAATAAATGCACAAATATTTTGAAGTGAATATGCATTAGTATGGCAATGCAATGATGAAGTGAATGAATGAATAATTCCAAACATACTGGGTCAATATATAGTAATTGAAAAGTCTTGTCTCAAAATATACAACTTTTCATCCAAATAATTTCTAAAATTTTCCATAAATTCAACATAATTTTTCAACTATTTCACATATTTAAGTGACTTAAATTTGTTTTAATTTTTTCATTCACCAAACAACATTTGCAGGTATCCTCGATGGTGGACATAGAACTGAACGATGAAAAAGAGATTTCGCAGTTGAACAAATGCAAAGTTCGTCGAATTATAGTATTTTAGTACTACTTCTAGTTAATGATGTTCATAAATTTATTGCTCCCAACTTAACAATTTGTATTCTTTTAGGAGAACTGCAAGCCTGTCGGTAGTGAATCTTTGCCGAAAGGAATAGTTTCCCCAACATCTAACTTGGAAATGCGGCCGTTGTGGGGTCCTATTTCGGAAAATGTATGTGACACGATAGCATGACGATAACTTTTCTTGTATACTTCTAGTCGAGCTCTTGTATCTTTCTCTCTTACTAACACGAAGTATCTTTGAACCAGTACGAACAAAAGGGTTCAACCAATCTCTTGGCCATTGTAATTGGGATAAAGCAAAAAGAATCGGTGAACAAAATTGTTAGTAAGGTAATGGTCATTGTACTTAATGAATAATGCTATTCATCAACAGTATTGACAGCAGCTTGTAAACCGTGCTTACAAATATCATTACTTGTACATAATGCTCGATTCATAGTACTTAGCACATGCATTGATGTCCTGTAGTTTCAACTTGTTACAGTTCTTAGCAAATGGTTTTGTCGTGATGGCTTTCCATTATGATGGTGTCGTTGATGAATGGAAAGATTTTGGATGGCACAATAAAGTCATTCATGTATCGGCCCCAAGCCAAACAAAAATGTATGGTTCTTAAATGTTGTTCCTACAAATGGAGCTACGGGTTCTAAGTTTCTTGACTCTGTACTGCAGGTGGTTTGCCAAACGGTTTCTACATCCAGATATTGTTTCTGAATACGACTACATTTTTCTGTGGGACGAGGATCTTGGTGTCGAAAATTTTGATCCAAGAAGGTATTGCATTACTCGGTTGTTCCTCCACAATGAAATGTTAACAAGATTTCGTTTAAACATGTCACACTTTTGAATGCAGGTACCTATCTATTGTTAGGCAAGAAGGGCTGGAAATATCACAGCCCGCCCTTGATCCTAGAAAATCAAAGGTGCATCATCGTATAACTGCACGTGTGAGAGGATCAAAGTTTCACAGGTGAGACCAAATTTAACTAGCGTAACTCCAATTAAGTTACCGCAGTATTTCACATATTTATTGAGGTTAGCCAATTTTATTCATCTAACTCTAATATTCATTCCCTTGAACAGGAGATACTATGATTCTAGAGGTGGTGGAAAATGTGTTAACAACAATACAGGTCCTCCTTGTGCAGGGTAAGAATTTAATTCTTAGCATTTACCATTATTATCTTGTGTCTAGCCAAAGTTTAACTCTTTGTTTGATTCACGAGAATATCATCTGTAATATAAGAGAACTATGTTTCTTACACGATAAGTTATTACGTGATGCAGTTGGGTCGAGATGATGGCTCCAGTGTACTCGAAAGCTGCCTGGCGTTGTGCTTGGTATATGATCCAGGTACATGATTTGAAGAAATGACTTTATATCTTCGTTACCTTACCGAACAAGCTAGTAATCCTTCTTCTTTTTCCCACAGAATGACTTGATCCATGGTTGGGGCCTGGATATGCAGCTTGGTTATTGTGCACAGGTAAATTCCTCACTAGAATTAACTATACTATTTTCTTGGAGTCACTCATAAATATCACTTATCACAGGGTGATCGGACAAGTAAAGTTGGTGTGGTCGATGCAGAGTATATAGTTCATATGGCTCTTCCCACACTTGTTGGACCTTCAGATGCGAAACCTTCAAAATCAAATAATCCGTCTTCACAAACATCGGTACGATTTCCAGATCAAGATCATTTCTTATCGACACACATGATGTATAAACCCGAAGTTAAATTTTTTGTTTCGATTTGTAGGAAGCTTCAGGTCTGAACAAATTGGACACCAGATTTGAGGTAAGTTGATAAAAATAAGGGATATTGTAAGTCCACTTTACCAAACACGTCATTAGTTCTTCCATGTGGCTTTGCTTAGTTACTAGTGTATATGCAGATACGAAAACGATCCTACAATGAGATGAACGTTTTCAAGAATAGATGGAATACGGCCGTTGCAGAGGATGAATGTTGGGTCGATCCATTTCAACAACCGGCTGATCAGATAATGCATTAGCCTACGTGTTTTTCCAAGACCTTGTCGAGTAATCAAGGCTCTGAACTTGTACAGATGCCGATACAAGAACAACTTTCCATGAATTCTTCCCATGTATAAAGCACTCAAATACTGAAATACAACAGAGAAACGAAGAGAAAGTATATGATTTTTCTTGCATTGATCTTGTTATTTTTTTGGAAGTATAGGAATCAATTTTCTTCGGCCGATCGAATTGGATATTCAACTTTTCTAAATGTAACTAATATTTTCAATAAAGAACCTTCGTTTTTGTGGTTCAACATGGAACAACACTCTTGTATGCAATTTCTAGTCTTATGATGTTGATACTAGGTATTGACTGCTAGAGAAAGATGTCTTTTATATATAACAAAAATATGGTGATGTACAGAGTTTTTTATTTTTCGTTTTAAAAATTTTAGATTTGAACTTTTTAATATGCAAATGTAACGATCTAAATTGTATTTTACATTAATCGTGAAAGTCTTGTATCGGGGATTTAGCCTTGGACACTATTCATTGTTCAAAATATTGTTACAATAGGTAGCAAAATCTACGTTGGGTACCCTACTTGGGGGACCCTCGTGTCCAAGTTACCTAGCTAGAAAAGTGGATCACCATATATGATGACTTTGAAGATGGAGGAAATTATCGAATTCTATTCCACATCGCTTACAGTACGCGAAGAGCAATGTGGTGGGACGGTCATTTTGATTACCATGCTGTCGGAAATTTTCGAGAGGTGGGACTAATATTAAAAATCCCCATTAACCTCCTTGTTTAATTATTTATTTTTTAAAGATGATTTAAAATAAAAATGTAAAAATATAATTAAATTAAGAAAAAAAGTAGAACAAATTCAAGAAGAGTATATTTCACGTCCTCGCCCCATTTACTATTTGGAGAGGGGATTCTATGCTCCATTCAATATACGGCAATGCAGGGTAGTTTGGGAATGGGAATTTTGCATTTACGACCACTAGTGTAAAATAAAGAATTTTTTGAAACTTATTTTGGAATATCGATTTTTCAAAATAAAATAATTAATAATAATAAAATGAAAATTTCACCATTTATTTTTCTCTTCTTCCCTCTCAGAAGTGGGGTTTAATCTATATGCGCATGTATGGTGTCTGTGTGTATCTCTATCTATACGTTCCACCATGACTATCTATCGATTCCTCCTCCGTTCCATCCGCCAATACTCCACCGCCAATCCTCTTTAAACACCCATTTTGATAATCGCCGACGCCGAGTCCCTTAACCCTAACCTTGATTCACAACACACAACCACTAATGCCTTTCATATTAGAAGCCAACGAGACTGCCAAGCTGGAAGACAATACTAATCAGCAGCACACTCAGCAAGAGATGAAGCATCAGCAGTGCAGAAGAAGAATGCTCTAGAAGGATCATGGAGCTAATTTTTTGTTTTACAAACTGTATTATGTCTTGCCACATGGAGTTGGCATTATATATACTGATAGAGGCAGCTGAAATGTAATTAATTAAATTATCAATAAAATCTCCTTCCATTTATTCTCTCAAATTCTCAGCTGAAATTCTCTGTTTTTGTTCAGCATTTATTGAAATGGTATCAGAGCTAGAAATGTAAGATGAAAATACTGGAAATCCAAGCACAAACCATTATTGTAGCTGATCATAAATTTGATATAAGTTAACAATGCATATATTATCAGGATAAGATGAAAAACTATAATCCCTCCATCCCAATTATATAGGTCGAGTTTCCTTTTTCTTTTGTCCCAAATATATAGACACGTTTCCTAATGTAAAATATTTTGTTGTATTCATTTACCAATATACCCTTATTAAAATTTTCCCACTTAATATACTAACTTCTTGAAATCATCCAAATACATACATTTCTCACTTCTTGAAAACATGAAACAACTCTCATTTCTCATTCTTCTTCTAATTCTTTATTAATTCCAATAATAATTTAGTTTTACATACTGAAAATTAAATAGGGGTAAATTAGGAAAGCTCTTAGCAAAAATTAATTTTCCAATAATATTAAAGAAGCTTTCTTAATCTGTGTGAAAAACGAAACAAACATATATAATTGAGACGGGGGAGTAGCTTTTAATCTTGGTCAAACATCCTTTATATATAACAAAATATGGTGATGTACATATAGAGTTTTTTATTTTTTGTGAAAGTCTCGTATTGTGGATTTAGCCTCGGACACTATTCATTGTTCAAAATATTGTTACAATTGGTAGTAAAATCGATGTTGGGTACCCTACTTGGGAGACCCTCGTGTCAAGTTACCTAAGTAGAAAAATGGATCGCCATATATGATGACTTTGAAGATGGAGGAAAGTATCGAATTATATTCTACATCGTTTACGGTTCACGAAGAGCAATGTGGTGGGGCGGTCATTATCATTCCCATCCCATCGGAAATTTTCGAGAGGTGGGACTAATATAAAAAATCCATGTTAACCTCCTCGTTTAATTATTTATTTTTTAAATAAGATTTAAATTTTAAATATAAAAATATAATTAAATAAAAAAAGTAGAACAAATTCAAGAAATTCAAGAAGAGAGTATGTTTTACGTCCTCGCCCCATTTACTATTTGGAGAGGGGATTCTATGCTCCATTCAATATACGGCAATACGGGGTGGTTTGGGAATGGGAATTTTGCTATCATGCCTACTAATGTAAAATAGAGAATTTTTTAAACTTATTTTGAAGCATCGATTTTTTAAAAATAGAAAGTATTTTGTGTCTAGAAAACATGAAACAACTCTCATTTCTCATTATACTTCAAATTCTTTATTAGTTCCTACAATAATTTAGTTTTACATACTGAAAATTAAATAAGGGTAAATTAGGAAAGCTCTTAGCAAAAATTAATTTTCCAATAATATTAAACAAGCTTTCTTAATCTGTGTGAAAAACGAAACAAACCTATATAATTGAGACGGGGGAGTAGCTTTTAATCTTGGTCAAACATCCTTTATATATAACAAAATATGGTGATGTACATATAGAGTTTTTTATTTTTTGTGAAAGTCTTGTATTGTGGATTTAGCCTCGGACACTATTCATTGTTCAAAATATTGTTACAATTGGTAGTAAAATCGATGTTGGGTACCCTACTTGGGAGACCCTCTTGTCAAGTTACCTAAGTAGAAAAATGGATCGCCATATATGATGACTTTGAAGATGGAGGAAAGTATCGAATTATATTCCACATCGTTTACGGTACACGAAGAGCAATGTGGTGGGACGGTCATTATCATTCCCACCCCGTCGGAAATTTTCGGAAGGTGGGACTAATATTAAAAATCCATGTTAACCTCCTCGTTTAATTATTTATTTTTTAAATATGATTTAAATTTTAAATATAAAAATATAATTAAATAAAAAAAGTAGACCAAATTCAAGAAATTCAAGAAGAGAGTATGTTTTACGTCCTCGCCCCATTTACTATTTGGAGAGGGGATTCTATGCTCCATTCAATATACGGCAATATGGGGTGGTTTGGGAATGGGAATTTTGCTATCATGCCTACTAATGTAAAATAGAGAATTTTTTAAACTTATTTTGAAGCATCGATTTTTTTAAAATAGAAAGTATTTTGTGTCTAGAAAATCTTTTAAAGATGTTATAAGATTGGCATCTAGCTTAGCGATCAGCGAGCCAACCCGAAGGAGGCAAATGAGTTGAAGGAACGTTGCATGGTTTATGATGGGGTTGTGAATGCGACCTTCATGGATTGGTTTTTCAATCAAGGTCAGCCGTAGGAGGCAATGGAATCTTACAGGGATTTTGATGGATAAGACGTTAGAATAATTCTATTATGTGGCCTTTAATTTGATTGTGAATTTTACGGATTAGATGTATGGTTTGCAATGATACTGTGATTAGACCCAATATATTAGTGATCACTTGGGCCGTTGTACACTTTACAGGCTGTGTTATTTATAATGTGGTAATTTTAAGTATGTGGTCCGGATTGTTGTCGACCATAATTAGGGTTAGAGTCGATAATGGACCAACTTTATAATTCCTATATAATGGTTAGGTCCCCTCTCCTCTCTACATCACAATACGCTGTCCAATTGTTTACTTAAAAGTCAAAATGTCGTATCGTAATCAATGTCATTACATTTCGAAACCGATAACCAGTGGTGGACGACGACGACGACGACGACGACTTGTTGATGTGAAGCCAAGTTATTTCCAAATCATAGACCAAATTCTTGTGTAAGTATATCTTTTGCTAACCAATCAAGAAAAGCCAAATCACCTTTATAAGTGAAACACAAGGATTGATTGGTTTCGATAGATTACGATTTTGTCCCATGCAAATGACCAGGGACCTTGGTCTTGGGTGCTGGTGTGGGGACTGATTCAATGGACTGTCGATAAATTAAGGATTTTTCATTAATCTTGTCACAACTTACATTTAGTACATGATCTTATTAAAGTAAGATATAAATAATAGATTAATTTCTCTACAATTTAAAAGTTCAAATTTATTTGTTGGTTTATAATAATTAAAATAATATTAACACCCTGTTTGATTATCATTCTTAAAAAAGTACATTCTTTCAATACTAATTTTCAATCACACGATCATAAAGTAATATTACACGTAAAATCAAAAAATTTCCTTCTTTTTTAATCAAATATTTTTCATGATATCACTATTTAAAATACATTATGTCCTCAAAAACGTGCATCAAACATGGGCTAAAAATAAAAAAATATATTATTCTCGCGCCTTTTAAAACCTTGCAATGAGTACTGACGTAACTTTTTATATAATTATTTAAATATCTTAAATTCACCACAATTTTTTAATATTTCAAATCACATTCTAAGGAAAAACAACCATTAGATATTGAAAATTAGAAGAGGAATTTGCATTTAGCAAATAATTCGAAGAGAGGCCATGAGTTTAGCACTTCTCCTTAAATCCCAAATAATTCAAAGAGAATACTCGGAATTATTCTTATTTGACGTGTGAGTTATGAATTTGTGACGGACAGCACAATACGAGTATACGACCCGAATAAAATATTTGTATTATATAATTTACCAATTAAACTATATAAAAAAATCCCCAATAAAATTATATATTTCAATAATGAAGAATTGCCAATTAATTAATTAATCCATTCTCCATCCACGACCTTTAAATGGGCCCACATATCAATTGGAAATTTTTGAGATTCCCTCGACTACACGTTCTCACACGATAATAAAAAATAAAAAATAAAAATTGTAGAACAAGAATTCTATTCCTCCTATAATACATACACATGTTTTATAGTTTCTGTGTACCTGCGTATATATATATGTATGTAAATTCAATGGGAGTGGTGTCGATGGGGAGTTCAGTTAGTCAGGCAGAACGACGTCGCGTCCTATCATTCGCAGGACTCTTCGCTTCATTCTGATCGGCGTTTTTCTTCATGCAACATGAAGAAGTTGAATTCTGTAACTTCTCTCTCTCTCTCTCTCTCTCTCTCTCTCTCTCTCTCTCTCTTTACATTGCTCGTATATATAATTTATGACATATTTATGTTAATAACCTTAATTAATGTACAGGTTTCTGTGTTGTCGGATGCTAAAAGTAGATTATGCTTATGCAGTTTCTTCATCATGGCCTCTTTCATTCTTGGTGTCTGCTTCATTGGAAGTGCATGGTTGGCAAGAAATTCTTTCGTGGTACATACGCACACAATTTTTTTTTTTCTCTTTTTTGTATATTTTGTCGTGGTTTCATACTCAATCTTGACAATAGGGTTGAAGTTGATTTGCAAGAAGTAGTCCTATGGACATTCAAAAGAGACTCTACAATGCTTAAGACCATAAAATATGCATAGAGAGAGAGAGAGAGAGTCGAACTAGTCAAGCATGATTTATTCATAACAATTTTTTGTTGGGAAACATTGATGTGCATAAATTATATTCCAATAACATAGGTAACTGGAGAGAATTTCGACTTATAGAAATTGAATACGTGAGTTAGAGACAAGAAATGCATGAATATGAATTTGTCGAGACAAAAATTCGAGTCTTTCTCCTTAAAACGATATTGCCTCGCAATTTTTCGACATTCGACCACATCCCGCAATTATGTTTTGAACTCTATTTAGATGATACTTGACTCAAAATAAATGCACAAATATTTCAAAGTGAATATGCATTAGTATGACAATGCAATCATGAAGTGAATGAATGAATAATTCCAAAAATACAGGGTTAATATATAGTAGTTGAAAAGTTGTGTCTCAAAATATTCAACTTTTCATCCAAATAATTTCTGGAATATTCCATAATATTCAACATAATTTTTCAACTATTTCACATATTTAAGCGACTTAAATTTGTTTTAATTTTTTCATTCACCAAACAACATTTGCACTTAAATAATCATTTAAAAATTGGTCAAACCCAATTTTCTATACAAAATTCCAACATTTTACTTCCCTCAACTAATGGGGTAGCTAGCTCTAATTTGCAGGTATCCTCGATGGTGGACATAGAACTGAACGATGAAAAAGAGATTTCGCAGTTGAACAAATGCAAAGTTCGTCAAATTATAGTATTTTAGTACTACTTCTTGTTAATGATGTTCATAAATTTATTGCTCCCAACTTAACAATTTGTTTTCTCTTAGGAGAACTGCAGGCCTTTCGGTAGTGAATCTTTGCCGAAAGGAATAGTTTCCCCAACATCTAACTTGGAAATGCGCCCGTTGTGGGGTCCTGTTTCGGAAAATGTATGTGACACGATAGCATGACGATAACTTTTCTTGTATACTTCTAGTCGAGCTCTTGTATCTTTCTCTCTTACTAACACGAAGTATCTTTGAACCAGTACGAACAAAAGGGTTCAACCAATCTCTTGGCCATTGTAATTGGGATAAAGCAAAAAGAATCGGTGAACAAAATTGTTAGTAAGGTAATGGTCATTGTACTTAATGAATAATGCTATTCATCAACAGTATTGACAGCAGCTTGTAAACCGTGCTTACAAATATCATTACTTGTACATAATGCTCGATTCATAGTACTTAGCACATGCATTGATGTCTTGTAGTTTCAACTTGTTACAGTTCTTAGCAAATGGTTTTGTCGTGATGGCTTTCCATTATGATGGTGTCGTTGATGAATGGAAAGATTTTGGATGGCACAATAAAGTCATTCATGTATCGGCCCCAAGCCAAACAAAAATGTATGGTTCTTAAATGTTGTTCCTACAAATGGAGCTACGGGTTCTAAGTTTCTTGACTCTGTACTGCAGGTGGTTTGCCAAACGGTTTCTACATCCAGATATTGTTTCTGAATACGACTACATTTTTCTGTGGGACGAGGATCTTGGTGTCGAAAATTTTGATCC